GCAAAACTATACAATTTTTTAAAAATCTGGATTAATTGGCCGGAACACCTGATCCAACACATTTTAAAAATAGGAGAACACCTTGTAATGGGTTTAGGTGTCAGGTGCTCCTGAGAGTAATGTTGATCAAGTCATTTTGTTTTTCTTAGTTTTCTCTGCTAAAAAATAAAGTGGATAATCTCTGTTTCAGTAGATGCTTCGGACATTAAAACTATTAACATATGTAAAAATGTCTAGTTTTATTACATTAAGTCACCAAATAAGTATTAGTTTCCTTTTGAATTATCTGCATAAAAGCCATTAAGGACCCCTAAAATTAAAAAGAAAAAAAAAGGGTTGTACCATAGTAGAGCACAGGCAAAAATGTAAATTCCTCCAACACTCACACAGAATAAGAATTTGGCTTCTACTCCAAGTCCAAAATAGAGTCTACCACATTATCAAAATAGACTTTACCTCCCAAACAGTTCAGTATTTATCAAATGCCACCTTTTTCTCTTCACTAACCTCTTCCCTCAGTTATTTTCCGCTCTTCCTTCCTCTATTCTTCCAACTCTCAAATTATACCCCAAAGAATTAAAAAGAAAAAAAGACGGTGTGCAAGATATGTTTTTTGCTGTTTGCACTTTTCACATACCCCATACCTCAAACACATACAAACCCAGGACACTTGGGAATTAACACAGTAATTTAAAAATTGCATAAAGGTTAGTGACAATATGAGGATGTTGGCAACAAAAGTTGGCAAAGGCTATGGAATGAGTCCCCAAAATGGCCAACTTTATGCTGCTCCAAAGGTTTGAAATCAGGGATCTCTCTGGTTAATGTGGCCAATCATTCCTCTCCTGGTTTTAATTGTCTCCGAGTGGAAGGAAGTAACATAAGCTGTTCCTTCAGAATTCCTCTGAATAAAAAGCTTAGCAACAAAATCACTGGAGTTACAGTGCTATGCCTTCTTGATTTAATACTAAACCGTGGAACAAATGAAACCACCCTGGCTTTCCTCCAACCTTTGTGGATCCCTCATTCTTGTACTTCTATTTATTCCATTTCTTCTCCTTGTGACAGCCCCCACCCCCTTTCTTTCTTTTTCTCCCCAAATCACATCCCTGCAGTTGCCTAGCTGTGTGATTACCCTATGATCTCCAGTAGCCCCTGAAGCAAAACAGCATCCATAATAAAATGACAATTTCAATTACAGTTCGGTCAAAAAATGTTTGTTGAGATTTGTCTGTGGTTAGCACCAGACTCTCCATCTACTGTGCCACTGAAAGCAGTGAACCCGTAGTCTCCCCAATCATAGTTCCTCATGCTTCACTCTTGTTTGGGCTGAGAACAGGAAAGAAGTGAAAATAAAATCTTCCAGTACTACCCTTAGTCTGGCTAGAAGTACACCCCACCACACATGGAGATGGCAGCCAAACAGTGAACCCGTAGTCTCCCCAATCATAGTTCCTCATGCTTCACTCTTGTTTGGGCTGAGAACAGGAAAGAAGTGAAAATAAAATATTCCAGTACTACCCTTAGTCTGGCTAGAAGTACACCCCACCACACATGGAGATGGCAGCCAAGTCTTCATTCCTTCACTTTCTCTTTCAAGAAGTTCCTCACTCACCCAACTCTTCCATTGTCCCACACCCAAGATGCTCTGGTCTCACAGGTTGTAAGGAACTGCTTTGGCATGTGCTGAAGAAGAGGACCGCAAAGGAACTGAGTAAGACGAAAATAAAGCAGCCTCTATAACTCTTTTTGGTTCCTGTATTTGCTTAGCACTTCCTCTCTTGATTTGGTGAATATCTTTTTTCTTTTTTTTTTTTTTTGTAGGTCATAGTTTTCAACATGGTACTGACACAAAGGCGGGTAATAAGATTTGAGTTTTGGTAGTACATTGGCCACGATGATAAAGATTCAAAATTAATTTCACAAATTTGAGCACCTACTATGTGCCAGAATTCATCTTGAATTCATGGGAATGGCAGATTTATGTTTGTGTTTCTTCCAAGTGTTGGTATCTGTGACTGAGCACCTGCTTTGTTTTTTTGTTTTTTGTTTTTTTCTGTGAAGCTGGGGGACCATGGAGGCATAGTTTCCTTTTCAGAATTTCCATCAGAGTTAACCAGCACCCAATTCATTTTGCTGTTTTTATTTAATTATTCAGATATTTTGTTTAACTGCTTTCCTGCACAGACTAAATCCTTTAAAAGCAGGGCAGAAGCAGATTCACGTTTGGATTCTCAGGGCCTGGTTATTCAGTTGTCCAAAATGCAAAACATCTATAGGGGTCATGAAGAATGAAGCTGGAAGGTTTAAGATACCAGGTGCTAAACTGCAGACATCTCAATTAAGCATAATCCCCGCTTAGTTATGTTGCCTTATTGCAGTTTATCTGAAAAATGACACTGAGGTTAACTCTTCATGTTTTTTACCACTGTGATTTTATGCACCTTGAAAAGAAATAAAACATTTACAAAACACCTACTATAAGAAGGCTGTATGTAAAAAGCTATGGCTCTTCAAAATAAATTTTATTCCCCTTTTTACCAGTGGTGAAATAGGTTCAATGGATAGTATTAATAGTTTACACTTACTGTACTTACTATAATACTTACTATAACCCAGATTTGACTTCAAAGCCTGCGATCTTTAAAACAAAGTGATCTTCTGTTAAAGGATTCATTCATTCTCCATTCCACTGTGTCCGTAAGACTTTCTTTTCGGGGGTGGGGGGGGTTCCCCCTCTGTATTACTTTGAACAGCCATTGGATGTCAGTGCTGTTCTAAAAGTCTGCTCACTGCAAACAGTCTGAAAAAATTCCCATTGACACCATGCCAATTTTTATAACTGAAAATGGCATTAGCCCTATAAAAGTGCAAAACACTCGGGAGAGAATATAAAACATTTGCCTAATCTGAAGTGGTAACTGAGTCAAAATACTGAAGGAAAAATGTACTTCAGCACTTGTCTACAGTTTAACTTTATGATTAATGTGAAATTTAGAATCGGATCCCCAGATCTTCTTTACATCCTCCTTCTCCTGGGGCTTTTAACCTCGGATGCTTTATTTTCCAAGGGTAAAGAACTGTTCTTGCAAATCGCTCTTTGATTATAATAAGAAAGCTAGGAAGGGCTGGGAGAGGCCCACTGCATCAAGGACTGCAATGTTGAGATGAGCAAATGGAAACTCCCTTTTGACGCTTCAGAAGACAGTTTAGCTGCACAAGCTAGTAGACAAAAAAGTAATTTCTGACAAAGCTGCTGTTCTGACCGCGCTTCCTTTGCAGCAGAAACATTCATAAACCGCAGAAGCAGGTAGCTTCGGGGCGGGGAGCTTGAGAGACCTTCAGCTTCTCCGTGTCGGTCACCGGAGCCACGCTAACAACCCCTCCCTCCAGCTCAGGGACCACAGCCAAGTTAAGCAGGCGACGCCGGCTCCTGGATGCCCCAACACACGTCTACTAAAAAAGCAACTTGACAATTCGTTCCACAAATTTTATTAAAAGCCAACCGAGTGGTGGACATTGTGCTAGGTCCCGAGGATCCAATGTAACCAGACTCAGTCCCTGACCTCCAGGGGCTCAGAGGTGAGTGAGTCAGACACAAGATGACTAGACGATTAATGGAGACACAAACGCTAGCCGGTCCCAGAGGAGCTGTAATCCGACCAAACCAAGGTAAGGGGTTACTAAGTGGCCACCCGGGAAAAGCTACTCCAACGCCAAGTAAAAATGTGCGAAAAAGTAGCATAAACCCTCCCGAACAATCCTCACCAGAATTGGCTCAACATTTGGTTCCCAATGTACGCAGGCGTCACGACCTAACCCGGAAACACTGCCTCTCTGGAAAAGTTACCTCAGACTACGGAGAGTAAACTACCTTTCCCGTCATGACTCAGTCCAAAACTCCCAGCACCCCCTTGGCCTCCGCTTTCCTAAAGCATACGGTAAGTAGGACTTCAGCTCCCAGGCAGCCCTTGGTTAAGCTAACCATGCGCGTGCGCCAGGAGGCGGCCCCTCAGCGCCCCCACGGCCCCGCCTCTGTTCTACAGCCGCCATCTTTTCAGAGACATCCATCCGGCAGTCGACGGTGTTTTTTTTCTTAAAGGAGAAGCGACAGCTCAAAAAATTCCCCCTTCTCCCCGCAAGATCTGGCGGCGCTGGGGACAGAAAGGCCAAAGACAGGAAAGTGGGGCCGGGGTGGAGGTGGAAAAATGCCCAGGCTACTTCTACGGCCTAAGGAAGAAAGATAGAGCCCTTGTGGCATTAGTGGCTCCTTAGGGAGGCAGGTGCGCGCGCAGCCAGTCAAGGGTGTGCGCGAGGCGGGGAAAGAGGTGCGTTTCCTCCTCACCCAGTTCCCTCGCGAGACCTGCCCCTCCCATTTTCCTAGTGCGCGTTGAACTCTGGAGGTGGGGGGAAAAGGTCACTTTGGGATTGTCGCGAGACGCAGCCGTTTAACGGTGAGAACGGGTGCGCGGGGAAGGAAACCTCGCGCGCTCCCTTGGAGCCGTTTCCTGATTGGTTGAAGAAAGGGGTGGGGGCGGGATCCCTATACGTCGCTGCGTGTGAGCCCGCGAGGGGCGGGGCGACGGAGCCGTTCTTCCTCTCCGATTGGGTCGCTGAGCTTCTGTGGCGGGCGCGCGCGCGCCATCAGCGGTAGCGGACCTTGAGTGGCAGGGGGCGGGGGGGCACCGTCGGAGC